GAAACTTTTAATAACTAACATTTGATAAGATTTGTTGCGGATTGTTCAAGGAAAGTAGTAGCTACTAAGCTAAAATATTACATGAGATGTGTTAAGAACTTTTTTTTTATATATTATTATTCTATCAAAATCCCTTTTTTTAACATAAGATTCTGATATAGTCACTACAAATTTAGAGAAAACTAAAATATCTTATATTATTTCAAAAAATATTGTTTTGGGTTCTTTCACGGCATGATTTAAAAAAAAGTTTTCGACAAAAATGATAATTGATGGTGGTAAAAAAAAGAAGATGTTAAACTCGTTTTACATTGCTAAACTAATAATTTTTGTAAATATTTCAAAAATGTGGTATTTTTATAAAATAACACTTGAAAAGTGATATATTTTAAAATTTTTCATGTTAAACTCGTTTTACATTGCTAAACTAATAATTTAGCAATGTAAAATTGGGTTAATAATTTTACATTGTTAAACTCGTGTTTGCTATGTGAGTATGTGTATTTTGCTAACTCCTTTTTCCGTTATATATTTTGGATGCAAACTACTTTCTGTAACCAAAATCAATAGAGAACTATTAAAGAGAGATTTTTTTTTTTTTTTAAGTAAGTTCGACCAATTTCACACAGCGACATACTCTCTCAACCAAAAAAAAAAAATCACTAACTGATTCCTAATTTCCGAGAAAAACACACCTATATTAACTCGTGATTCTTCTTAAAAATAGAAATTTATTTTAAGCTAAAATCTCTCACTAACAACCTAAAAACATTCTCATTACAACAACAACGACCACCCAAAGACACGAAAAAGAAATTCACCGACTGTAAGAAAAAACAACACAAAAACACATCTTCAAGATCAAACAAACCCAATCTCATTCATCGTCGCCTTCTCAATATGGCCGGAGGAGCAGCGATGCTCGTTAACGTCGGAACGGTTATAATGGCCGTTTTGACCCTGGCTAGTTTGGTCGGAGGCTTCGGTGTGAATTGGGGCAACATCGCATCGCATCCGTTGAATCCTGATATTGTTGTTAGGATGCTTAAGGAGAATAAGATCAATAAAGTCAAACTCTTTGACGCCGATTCATGGACGATGAATGCTTTGGCCGGTACGGGCATGGAAGTTATGGTTGGAATCCCTAATAACCTTCTTGAAACTCTAGCCGATGATTACGATAATGCTAAAGATTGGGTTAAAGAAAATGTCACGGCTTACATGCGCAAGGGTGGCGTCGACATCAAGTAACCCTAAAAAACTTTTCAACTTTTTCTTTCTTTCTATTGATCATATTCGAATATTTGGCCCAATCATTATTAAAAATTTCGCTAGGCAAGTGTTAGAAAATTGCCTAATGCAGTTTAGATTGACTAGATTAGATTAACCAATATCGGTTTATCGAATTTTTAAACAGGCGAAATCACGGTTTTTTGGGTGATTTTGACCGCTTAGGATAGGACTAATTCATTCATATGATTGCAAGGTACGTGGCCGTGGGGAACGAGCCGTTCTTGTCTGCATACAATGGATCGTTCTTGAAGACAACATTTCCCGCTTTAAAGAACATTCACAGGGCGTTAAAAGAAGCTGGACATACCGATAAAATGAAAGCCACGATCCCACAAAACGCGGAAGTTTACCAATCAGCAAACGATAAGCCATCAGAAGGCGATTTCCGTAGCGACGTTAAGCAAACGATGCTCGATATTGTGAACTTCTTCCATGATAACGACTTGCCTTTCACCGTCAACATTTACCCGTTCCTTAGTCTTTACCTAAACGAGCATTTTCCAGTCGAATTCGCTTTTCTAGACGGTGATGGTCAGACGATTACCGATAATGGAAAGAATTACGATAATGTGTTTGATGCGAATTACGACACGCTTGTTTATTCGTTGAGGAAAGCCGGGATTAAAGATATGAAGATCATCGTTGGGGAGGTAACTTTACAAGCAAATTATTGGTTATTAGGTATATACAAATCAAGAATGTTGAAATCGTTTTATCGAAATTGGTTTATGTTTTTTTTAATATATAGGTTGGATGGCCAACGGATGGTCATAAATACGCGACGCCGAAGCTAGCAGAGAAATTCTATGCAGGGCTTATGAAAAGACTAGCCGAAGATGGTGGGACTCCATCGAGACCTGAGAGGTTAGAGGTTTATCTCTTTGGTTTGCTCGACGAAGACATGAAGAGTATTCTTCCTGGTCCATTTGAGAGACATTGGGGAATCTTTAGGTAATGATTATTTCATGTCTCTTCATTTCCAAAGCTAGATTTCTTGAATAACACGTCACCTTTTTTCTTCTCCTGATTTACATAGAGTTTCATACTGTGATATCAAATTTTTTTCAACGTTATTTGAACTATTTGTCGAACAGATACGATGGAACACCGAAGTTTATGCTAGATTTCACTGGACAAGGGCGCAAGATGGTGCCAGTGGCAGCGAAAGGTGTGCAATACTTAGAAAAACAATGGTGCGTAGTGAACAAAGACACGGTAAATCTAGATGAAGTTGGTCCGGACCTAGACTATGCGTGTTACCACGGGGACTGCACCGCGATGGAAGGCGGTTCAACGTGTAGTAAGCTAGACAAAATCCAAAACATATCATACGCATTTAACATGTATTTTCAGATTCAGGACCAAGACGTTAGGGCTTGTGATTTCAAAGGAGCTGCTATGATTACTAAGACCAATGCATCAGTGGGAAGTTGCTTGTTCCCTGTTCAGATCGTTAGTGGAAGTGACGATTTCAGGATCAAGTTTGTGTTTGGAAGACTCGTTGTTTTTGGACTTGTTCTTCTTGGATTAGTCACGGCTATATAATTTGTTTTCTCTCTTTTTTTTTGCACTTTTGGGGGATTATAACTCTTAAGTTATTTGTTGTTCGTTTGATAACGTTTGAGTTAGTTGATTTCTATGTGTTTTATATAGATCAAACTAATCATAACAAATACTCGTTTACAGAGTTATTTTTCCATTAGAGTTACAGTTTTGATTTGTGTATATATATGTTCATTATACATATCCTCGTTTCACAAATCTTATAATAATATAAACAAATCATACTTTCCATTCTTCTTACAACTTGAAAAGTGACACAACATCTGATTAAGTAGAGCCACTTTGATTAATTACATTCATCTAATCAAAACAAACAGAGAGATTACAACAAATATCGCAAAAAAAAAGGCAGGAATCTTCAGATCACACAATGTGATTATCTCATACTTCTTAGCTCGCATATGTCATCATCGGCCTCTTGTAAAACCCTTCTCCTTCAAAAATACAGTTTGCATTTCCTGTTTCCATCGAGTTCTTGTAAAGCCTCTCTGCTTCGGAAGTAGAGTTTGCATTCTCTGTTCTTGTAAACCCTCTCTGCTTCGTTTGCGATTTCTCT